CAAAACAGCAACATTATAAATATTAATCCAACAAGAAAAAAAAACGACATCCACTTCAAGTTATTGGGGTGGGGGGAATTTTATTATATTTCCTTTCAATAAAAGCAAAAATTACAGTATATTAAAAAACTTCCCTTAAATAGAAACAATGATAAGAAACTGCTGACTGGCACAATAATCTGGTGACAGAACAGTACAAAAAAATATATTATCATTTCCTCTGTACATTATATATAACAATCACTTCTAAACACAGAGAGAGGGCGGCAGAGAACGTGGGCGAGGGTGGTTGGCGCGTGGCAGAGGACCACATCCCATGGCCCCGCCCCCACCCCGGAGTCTCTCTCTGGTATCATAGTACTAGCTATACGGTGTTAGGACTATTGCAGCACCGTCTGGTCCCAGGTAAGTCTCATGGAGTGCAGGATTACTACACACAGTCAATTGTTACTCCTACAGGATACATCAGAGAACAGCAGCAGTCACACGGGAATGAGTGTCGTTGTACACCTGCCCTTCCCCCAACTCCAGGAAATGTAACATATGTAAAAGTGAAACTGGTCAGGCAAGCAGTACATGATCTTTACAGCAAGCTCTCCCTGATCTCTGTACCTGCAGGTACTGTGGAATAATTCATCCTCAAAATCTACAGCAGAAGCACTGAAGTTAAGCCATTCAGCAGCTCTGGTCCCCCCTCCCAGCAGTGACTAAGCAGCTCGGCTCTCCCTGCTTACTTCTCCTAAGAGTGACTCGGCTGCTTAGTTCCCTCTCCCAGCGGTGACTCAGCAGCACAGATCTCCCCGCCCATCAGTAATTCAGCAGCTGAGCTCCTACTAGTAAATATGCTGTTCAGTACCACCTGACTATGTTCCCTATCCCAACAGTGACTCAGCAGCTCAGCTCCCCCTCCCAGCAGTGACTCAACCCCCCCCCCCTTTCACAGCAGTGACTTAGCAGCTCAGCTCCCCCATCTCAAGAGTGACTCAATGGCTAAGCGCCCCCTGCTCCCTTTCACAGCAGTTAGTCGGCAGCTCAGTTCCCCCTCCCAGGAGTGACTCAGCAGCTAAGCTTCCATTAGTAAATCTGCAGCTGCTCTATGTGTTCCCCCTCCCAGCAGTGACTCAAAAGAAGAGCTTCTGCTGGGAATTTTGACAATGAATAACTCCACGGTGCCCGATGCTACAGAGGTCAGTGAGGGCTTGTTCTACAGTTCATGTACTGCTCGCTGGGAATATGCGCACACCTATAGGCCCTTACCCAGACCACAGGTTCTCCAGGAACTAGAGCGCTGCCACTGTGACAGGTGGGGAAATCTTCCTCTTCCATCACACACACTGTACAGAGGTTTTCCGTTACTGATTGGCAGTGAAGCCATTACTTCCGGCACTGTGTAAAGTTTCACAATACAAACAACAAATGAGGCTTTCCCTTCCCACCCGAGAAAGGTCAGGGAAGTCAGCAGGTCATGTGACCGCCATCCAGACCCGAGTTGTATCGGTTTGCTGTATGGTTACCTGATAAAATCATCTAAAAGTGCACTTACCCTCAATGGCCCCCCTGTTGCCCTTGCCCCGTATCCCCGAAATGACCCACAGCAACCCGTGTCCCTGTATCCCCGAAATGACCCACAGCTACCCGTGTCTATTGCGCCGAGATCTTTGCTGGGCCCCGCCCACAATTTCCACTCATACCCATAGAAATTCCTGGCAGTGTACAAAGCCCCTACTGGAACAGATGGAGAATGCGGGCAAGGCAGAACGCAACAGTAAGCATCTTGCAAGAAGAGGCCATGTGGTGCCACAAAGGTGGTACAGCAAAGATCTCAATGGAGCAGGAACAGGTAGGTATGCGGCATACCAGAAATGATGGGCAAGGGCATCAAGACCCACTAAAGACCACTTGCCATTGAACACAGTATCCCTGAAAAGGCCCACACTTACCGGTGTCTATTCCGCCAGGATCTTTGCTGGGCCTTGCATACAATTTCCACTCATACCCATAGGAATGCCTATAATACTTGTCCTGGCAGTGTACATACTGGAATAGATGGAGAATGCGGGCACGGCAGAACCCAACAGTAAGCATCTTTCATAAAGAGGCCATGTGGTGCCACGAAGGTGGTACAGCAAAGATCTCAATGGAATGGGAACAGGTAGGTATGTAGCATACCGGAGATGATGGGCAAGGGACATCAAGGCCCACTAAAAGGCACGTAGCATTGAACACAGTATCCCTGGAAAGACCCATACTTACCTACGTCGGTTCCACCAAGATCTTTGCTGGGCCCAGCGCACAATATCCACTCAAACCCATAGACATTCCTGGCATTGTACAAAGCCCCTACTGGAACAGAAGGAGAATGTGGGCAAGGCAGAACCCAACAGTAAGCATCTTTCATAAAGAGGCCATGTGGTGCAGCAAAGATGTCAATGGAGCAGGAACCGATGGGTATCCGGCATACCAGAGATGATGGGCAAGGGCATGAAGACCCACTAAAGAGCATTTAATGGAATAGATGGAGAATGCAGGCAAAGCAGAACCCAACTGTAAGCATCTTTCATAAAGAGGCCATGTGGTGCTAAAAAGGTGGTACGGCAAAGATCTCAATGGGGCAGGAACAGGTAGAAATGTGGCATACCGGAGATGATGGGCAAGGGCATCAAGACCATTGGACACGGTATCCCTGGAAAGACCCACACTTACCTGCGCCTGTTCCACCAAGATCTTTGTTGGACCACACATATCTCATGCATGCCTGCCACAATTTCCACTCATAGCCATAGAAATTCCTACAATACTTGCTCTGGCAGTGCACATACTGGAATAGATGGAGAATGCGGGCAAGGCAGAACCCAACAGCAAGCATCTTTAATAAAGAGGCCATGTAGTACCAAGAAGGTGGTACAGCATAAATCTCAATGGAGCAGGAACAGGGAGGTATGCGGCATACCGGAGATGATGGGCAAGGGCATCAAAACCAACTAAAGAGCACTTGCTATTGAACGGTGAATATAAGGTTTGAGGCCCCAGAGTTGGAAGCCCTATTCTACATCCTCCGGCTCATATAATGATTTTAATAAACCAAAAGATATTATTATGGAGTTTGGTTGACCTTCTACTTCTATGGCTTTCCGAAGAGATTCGGCAAAATCCACATCAACTGGACGACACAAGTTAAAAACAAAAATGATGCAACACCAATAATCAGGACAGCAGGTTGTAGCTCTGCCCCCACGTACTTGGCAGGGGGCAGTTGTCAAGGTGCCGACACTACTTGAGAAGTAGGCGGTTCCTTTTTTTTCCGATCTACTGCCACCAAAATTTAAAAAAAAAAATCAATTTTTGTACAAGGCTCCGGAGAGTTGAGTTTGAACCTTCTGTCTATAATCACGGGAACGCAGATGTCCCCAGTAAAGTCGATTCTGGCTATGTGCGAAGTATAGTCCAGTTCCACTCTCAGGCAGGCATCATAAATAATTTACGACACGCATGTACTTCACCCCAGACACACACATCACCCACCTAGAGGAAGCCCAGTCCACTCACACCACGCGTCACATTGTAACATTTCACCCCGAACATACAAAGTCCCGCTTACTGGCATCACCGAGCCGAAGCTTCTACACAAGAGGAACACATAATACTGATTCTTCGTTACAGTCTTCTTGAATAGCAGCACCAAGAATACTGTAGAGCAAGTGAGCAGAATACCGCCCGCCGGGTCAGCAGGAGAACATGGCCAGCTTGGACCTCCTTGGAAGCGAGGAACTGAAGTCAACGTTGACACGGTTTCTACTCTTGGTCCTCATCGCGGAGATGTTTGGCTCCGGCTTTCCACGGACGGGAAGTGCATCAATGAATAGGCCACGCTAGATGACGTGGCTCCACTTGTCCATCTTGACCAGGAAAGGTGGTAGATGTGGTGACAAGGCTCTCAAGAGACCTTCTCCACACAATTTCCCGGTGGGATGAAGTCGCTTAGATAACTACATTTTCTTAGAGCTTAGTTTCAGGTCCACATGGACTCAGAGGAGGGAACGAGTTGCGGATACGAGCCACTTCCATTGCACAGAGATGTCCAAACACCTTGGTGTACCAGTCTGGAGAACGCCCTCTGTAAGTAAAAAAATTATATGATGGTCCTTAACAGCCGAGAATTTTATTTATTTGTGACACATTGTTACATTTATTTTGACACATTTTGAAATAAAAAAAATTTAAAAAAACCACAACACACTAGAGGGAAACAAGTGGTCCATTCCTTTTTTTTCTTAAAAAGTAAACAAAAATGAAAGATTTTACTATTTTTTAAATTTAGAATTTTTTTTAGAATTTTTA